ACCACCCTCCTCTTCCTCCTTATCGGGATGCTGACGTCCACCACCAAGAGCCGATGTTGGGTCACAAGTGACTCACTCGGGATAACCTTGCAATCCTTGCACAACCCTCTATCATACTTCCTTAGGAGAAGATAATCGATCTTACTCTGAAAAGTAACCAAATGCTCCTCTCTCTTCGAGAACATAGAGTTTGCAATCACCAACTCAAAAGCCTTAGCGAAATCCAATAGAGAAGTTCCACCTCCGTTCCTAACCCCAAAGCCACAACCGCCATGTACCTCGCCATAACTACTGGCAGACGCGCCGATATGCCCGTTGAAATCCCCTCCTATAAATAACTTCTTCGTGGGCAGAATACCACGCACCACTTCATCCAAACCCTCCCAAAAACCTCTTAACCTCTTCATCCAAACCCGCTTGGGGCGCTTATGCGCTAATGACATTTAGAGTGAGCCCTCCAACCACTAACTTAATAAACATTAATCTATCACTCACCCGCCTAACCTCAACCACCGACTCCCTAAGATCCCTGTCTACCAAAATACCCACTTCGTTCTTACCCTTTGAGCGTCCAGAGTACCACAGTTTAAACCCATTTACATTCCTCGCCTTCGATCCTACCCACTTAGTCTCTTGAACACATGCTATATTGACCTTCCTCTTCTAGNCCGCCTCCCGACCCGATTCTCAACCTAAACGCATTTTAGAAATGGTATAGGTGTTTAATAGTATGTAGTATTATGTCTTCCTCGTTTTAATTTTTAAAAAGAGGATTACATCTTGTTGGAAAAAACCAGGCAACATTTTGAGGAACAGGATTTGGTGGAACATGATTCCTGCATGTATTTGGTGGGCAATTTGGAAGGAAAGAAACTCTAGATGTTTTGAAGGGATAGCAAACTCCGAACAGAAGATCATGATGAATGATATATTTTTGTTTCACTTTTGGTGCAAAGAAGCTCTTGTAGAAGATGTAGATACCATAGTTGACATTTTGGGAGCTTTGTAACTAGAGCAGGACTATTTTTTTTTTTGGAGGGTCCTGTAACTTTGGTTTCTCTTAGCACTGTCTTTGTGCTAAGGACTACTCTAATTGTTAATAAAATTATATCTTGTTACCTTGTTCGAAAAAAAGAGGATTATGTCTTGTTGTGAAGATCTATAATTTTTTGAGTTCCAGACAGGTTTGGTTTTAGATTGAATTTTTGGTCAATCTATCTCACATGTGATATACGCTCAGAGACGGTCTTGTTAGATAACTTTGTCACTTAAAATAATCACGTTCTAATAAGTATTGCCCATTTCTTGCGTAACTTATTTTCAAAGCATTTGTATTTATGTTGCACTATCTTAACTATGGTGATAAGAAGTTTAATTTGCATCATTTTCCTTTCTCTTATCGCACTCTTTTCCGGTGCCTTTTTCCAATGATATTTGTGACAGTGTAATGCAGGAGCCTTTCAAGAATGTACCTCTGGTATGGACCATTAATGAAGTTACACTTGCTTCTCGGTTGGAGCAGTATATTTCAAGTGGGCAGAACAATGTTGTGGACAACTGGAGAAAAATCTTTACTCGTGCCAATGTTGTTGTCTTCCCAAACTATATCCTACCGGTATTGCTCTTTAATCAAACTTAGTTCTCTCCTTTGTCTCTTAAGTACAGGTGTGCAGCAAGAGTCTAGCTTCCATGCATGTCTAACTGCTGTAAAATTCTGGGTGAAAAATGATTTGCACTCTTTTTAAGTGTTGGTATTCTGTAATGCACAATAGAGTTGTCATGGTAGAGGTCATCTCACACATTATATTGCCTTCCCAAGAAGGAAATAACATGTAATCCATGAAATATTTAGATATCGTTAATTATTGCCTAAGCAAACACAATTCATATGTCCTCATCATCAACTATTAAAATTATTGAAACGGCTGTTATTCAAACTCCCTTCCGCATTCTCATACTTTGGTTCTTGTTAGTGAGGAATCGGTGTTATCTGTGCGCTAACTATGAGTGATACATTATTTAGATAGCTTATTCAGTCTGTGATGCTGGAAACTACTTTGTTATTCCGGGTTCTCCTAAAGAAGCATGGGAAGTTGATATGTCGATGGCTGTATCCAATGATAATATACGAGCTAAGATGGACTATGCACCTGAAGACTTTGTTATTGTGGTTGTGGGGAGTCAGCTTCTATATAAAGGCCTCTGGCTAGAACAAGCCCTTGTTTTACAGGCTTTATTACCGGTTTTTCCTGAATTAACAAATGATGGCAATTCAAACTCCCGTTTCAAGATTGTTGTACTTGCTGGGGGTTCAAATGCCAATTACAGTGTGGCTGTGGAGGTAGGATCTTTTTTTCTTTTCTTGGTATATACTTTAGCAATTTGAATGTCTGTAATTCTTTTTCTTTTTGGTTCTTCTCATATGTACGGGTAGTAACTTGGCAATGTGATTTCCATAGGCTATTGCGCGGAACTTAAGATATCCCGAGGGAATGGTGAAGCACGTTGCTCCTGCCGAAGATACAGATAAAACTTTGAGTGTGGCTGACCTTGTCATATATGCATCTTTCCGTGAGGAGCAATCTTTTCCGATCACTTTGCTAAAGGCAATGTGCTTTGGGAAACCTATAGTGGCTCCAGATCTACCAATGATAAAGAAATATGTACGTATCTTAACTCATTAATGGTTAGTACTTGATATGTTTTAAGACAATCATAGCTTTTCTTTGGCCTAGTTTAACACACCCAGTGCACAAAGCATTTGGTCAAACATATCTCATGCACTGAATAATTTGTCTTCACGGGCTTAAATGTATAATAATAATTGACATTTAAAGAAAGGAACTAAGTGTTTTACTTATTGGGTCGATGTAGGGTGGTTTTTGACTTTTAAAGCAAGGGACTGACTATTTTTACACTCTTATTAGGTCAATGATAGTGTCAATGGCTATCTTTTTCCAAAAGAAAATGTCAACGTTTTAACACAGATCATGTTGCAACTCGTATCAAATGGTGAACTATCAGTTCTAGCCCACAATGCTGCTTCAGTTGGACAATATACTGCAAGGAACCTTATGGTTTCAGAAAGTGTGGAAGGGTATGCTTTATTATTGGAGAACATTCTCCGATTTCCATCCGAAGTTGCATATCCCAAGGCTGTTACTGAAATTCCTGTAAAACCAAAAGCAGAATGGCAGTGGCATCTTTTTGAAGCAATCGAAACAAAATATTCTCAGAACAAGACTTTGAAGACCTCAAGTTATTTGAATAAGATTGAAAGGCAATGGAATCCGACCCAAAGAGAGGGTTCTGCAGCTGTGGTGGAGAAGAATGAGAACTTTTTGTACAGCATTTGGGAGGACCACAGAAATACTGAGATAGCTAATGTGAGAAAGAGAAGAGAAGACGAAGAGGTAATTGATTCTTGGACTTGCTGTTGTTTCCCTTCTTCCGTTTGATCTCCCTTTAACACTCGACTTTGTGATGTAGTCATTACTTCTACCACCAAAGCAAAAGGAGTTGTTTTGTAATTGGCACATTCCGTAGATTAATATGACTTTTATCTGCTTGCATTTGAATTCGATGCAGTTGAAGGACAGAACTGATCAACCTCGGGGAACATGGGAGGAAGTATACAGAAATGCCAAAAGGGCTGATCGGTCTAGGAACGATTTGCGTGAAAGGGATGAAGGGGAGCTTGAAAGAACTGGTCAGCCATTGTGCATTTATGAACCTTATTTCGGCGAAGGGACCTGGCCCTTCTTGCATAGTACAACACTTTATCGTGGTCTTGGACTTGTGAGTCATCTTGATTTCAAATTGCTTGCTATTTCTCTATGGCTTGCTTGGCAGGTTATGTCTGGTAGCATAAAGTTATTTGTTTTCTCCTTAGTTTTATTCATTGTATCAAGTCATACCATGAACCATATGTAAAAAAAAACTGAAATTTTGTGCTACTGAAAGAAATAGGAATGGAAGCTTTGCAATAGTGTTTGTATGTTTTAAGCTTAAACAAATATCACTTTTTCCAAGCGTGTCACAAAAATGCTTTATATATTTGGTGGTTTTCTCTTTTCCTTTTCTTTTTATCAATTTCTCTGTGGGAACAACAACAACAACAACAACAAAAAATCCAGTGTAGTCCCACAAGTGGGAAATCTTTTCAAAAGTTGAATTGACAATTTGCTCTAGGAGGGTTGTTTTCTTTGGCTTATCAGTGTCCTTTTATTTCTTCATTGAAATTGGATGCCAACCTGAGCGAGAGAGAAAATGCAACTTAATTTGCAAAATGACATGGTACTAGCTATAATTGGTGAAGTACTATTTATTTTCATTTAGTGTTGATATATTTAGTTATGATCTTTCAATGTGATTTTACTGCCAAAGATTTAGTATGATTCATAATCTTTTTGATGCTGGTGGATAATAAAACGTCACTCCCCAGTCTGATGTGTATCTGAATTGGCTCATTGTAGTCTACCAAAGGGAGACGATCCGGTCATGATGATATTGATGGTCCTTCTCGGCTTCCACTTCTAAATAACCCTTACTATAGAGACGTTCTTGGTGAATATGGAGCCTTTTTCGCTATTGCTAACAGGATTGATAGGATACACAAAAATGCCTGGATAGGGTTTCAATCTTGGAGAGCAACAGCAAGACAGGTACTCCCGCCGTTTCAATTTATGACGTAGTTTGACTTGGCACAAAGTTTAAGGAAAAAGATTTTTGAAACTTGTGGTCTTAAACATTCCATAACATTTGTGTTGCTATAAAAGCTTTTCATTAAGAGTAAAATGGGTAAAAAAGATACTTTAAAGTTAAATTGTTCCCAAATATAGAAATGTGTTATTCTTTTCGAAATAGACTAATAAGAAAAGTGCGTCATATAAATTGAAACAGATGGAGTATATATTGTTCATGGATGTCACCGTTTTCGTTTGTACTTTAGGCAACTTGTTCTTTTGCTACATGATAGCATATCCACAGAAGAGAGAGTATGGCCCTTGTCCAATTTAGTTTAGACGCAGCTCAAATGCCTTTTATGCTATAGGCTGTGTTAAGCATGCTTTCACTGTATGGGGGCAGGACTGTCTAGATTTCTCTCGCTTTTTCAGCTCTAATAAATTGCCTTTTTGACAGACTAGTTTTGGTGACAACTATCTCCATTTACCTTCTTGATGTCAAGTAACTATGTGAATGTTGGTTCACCTGTCACGACCCATACCATGCAGTCTTTATCAGGAATAACTCGTAAAAATTTGATTTCAGATGCTTCAACCTCTGCACTCAACATATTTATTAAATAAGCTATCCAAACATCCTGAAAATAACTTCAAACCTATTGAAAATGGTAGTCTATACCTGAGGTAACCTAGAGTCAAAATCACATATGACTGTTCAAATTTAAATTCATTCTAGTAAAAGTCTTGAAGAAAAAAAAGGTCCAGATGTATGCATTTAAGTCATAGTTTAAGAATATCCTGCATTGGTTGAGAGAATGAATTGTTGTCTCCTTATATGGTCTTGGAATATCCTTATATGGTCTTGGAAAATCCTCACCTCATTAGCTAGTTTGTGGTTGAGTTGGGCCCGAGGTCTATTTTCTTAACAATAGTTACAATATATGCATCTATATCATCACCAGTGCCTCATGGGTCTAAGTGGAGTATGATTTCTTCAAGTTAGACTGTGCATAGAAACCTGACCTTCCCAAATGAGAAATAAGGACTTCAGGTGGTCCACACATTGTTGTCTCCAAAGTACGAAGTTGTAAAATAAATTCCAACTCTTCCCAACGAAATTTGACTTAATATATCATGATCAAATAGTTAACTTCTATTTCCAAAATATGGGAAAAGAATTTTGAAATCTTCTAGTACTAACTCATGCACAGTGGCGAAGCCACATGTTTTATAAGGGTCGTCGAAAAATTGCACTCTATATATAGATAAAATATTACGTTTTAGAGGTATATAACACATATTGAACAACCTTTGTCAGGATTTTTTTTCACTTCTTTCAAATTTGAATATCCTTGGGTAAATTCCTAGCTTCGCCACTGCTCATGCATAACTGTAAACATGGATGTGAGTCATTTTGATGAAGTACAAACATAATCATTTTTCTCTTATAAGTTTACGGAGATGTTGAAATTCCAGTAACGTGTCAACAAAGGCTCAAGTCTGAACATAACTTTCTTTAACAATGCATAAGTTCCGTGTATTATTCCCCTTGAGATACTGCATAGCCGCAAATATCCTATTAAAATAGGAAATTTGAAAGCCAATCACCATAATAGGACACAATGAATCCGTTTTAAATCCTCAATTTTCTGGCTGAACAAACAAGAAACCAAGAGGTCCATCCAATTATAAAATCTAAATGTTTTATAGAATAGAAAATCTTGATAGGCATTTTTTT